GGAGCTCCTTGCAGTCCTCTGAAGGAGCAGGATGTCTTTTCCCATGGACCTTTGAATTCCTTTTTCCCTCTGTGGGGACCCCAACCATGTAACTCTCAACTATGCAGGTTGGGGTTGCCTCACCCTGCTGTGGCTAGAAGCTTGGAAGCAATAGGACTGGGGTCCCAGAGCCTGGACATGCTCCTCTCTCGGTCCTGGGCTTAGCAGGGCCATGGTCCACTTCCAGATTCTGTCTCAAAAACAGAGTGGCCCAGTGAGGCAATGGGTTGTGGTAATCCCTTTGACCTATTTAGTCAGGCACCTTACAAGGGCTGTACCAGCACCACTTGCAGGGTCTGAATTTGTGGAGAGAATGTTAGGGCTGCTAGGGACCAGTGTCTGGGGTGCTTCTGTCCTTGAGTCCTGAATGCCCCAGTCCCAATCATTCGTATCCCCTCCAAAGATGGCATGTTTGCATGTCCTTCCTGCCATCAGAATTAATACAAGGTAGACTCTCTAAGGGGTACAACAGATAGGTCTTTGAAGGTAAGGGATAAAATGGGGCTATTGAAAGGAAAATGCTAAATTAAAAAGAAGAAAGACTGTTTTTCACCTGTGTCTTTAATATAAACATTTAGTTTTCTAGCATGGTTTAGATTTAGTATCATGATTAAAATGATATTTTAAAGTATTTATCATTAATTTAAAATGCTGAAAAAATAATCAATTTATTTGCAATTACCTTGGTATTTTGGTGAAGTTAATTTTAGATCAGTAGCTAACACAACTGGGTAGGGTAGCAAGCAAGAAAGACCATGGCAGAAAGAGATATAGTTAAAATATATCTATTCAGATGGAGAATATAGAACAAAAGTGCAGCTATGAAATCCATTTCTGGCACCCTTGATGGTAATCTAAACAGCACATAGATAATAAATATTACTTAATTAAATTGACTATCACTGTTAAAAATACTAAATCACATTTATTTTGAATGTTTTTATTCCCACTCAGTTTTTGATAATAGATTCATTTTCACTCATTTTTTTTATCCCCCCCCCCCCATATAATACTAAGCAGTAACAGAAATCATCTCTGTTTAAAATTCTAGCTTCTGTCACAACCCAGTGATTTTTGTGCCTCGGCACTCTGGAATTTCCTGGCCACATGAGAGCTCCTTTGCACGGCAGAGTGTTCTGCTGCAATTGAGAGCCCGTGTGCAGGAGAGAGTTCCCGCCAATTTACAGTTTCCTTTGCAGGATGCATTTCTTCTTTGCAGCACAGAAATGCACGGTGCAAAGAGTTCCCGCTATTCGGATGTAAATTTGTGCCCCACTATTGGCCAGTGCTAAATTATTCACACGTGGCGGCTAGTAATTGGCTCACTGGCCATTTAAAATTCCGCGGGACTTCCGCCCAAGTTGAAGGGCTTTGAGCACTCTGCAGAGTGCCTCTGAAGTTATCTGACTTGCGGCTGCCGATCGATAGACTGATCACCTATCGATCTTTCTTCCCGTCACCGAGCGCAACCCC